CTGTTTTGAATAACGTATAAAGGGAACAAAAAAGAGGGTGGGAATAATTCCTTGCAAAGAGCTTTGTGGATTTAGACTCTGTGGCTCAAAAACCACGCAAATTTGCATGATTTAGACATCAAATTTCACAACTGTGGATTATAAATTATAACAGCGTGTAATACATTATCTTTTTCCCTTCTCTCATTAAGTTATCTTTGAAGTCATCTGTCTAAATGACAGTGAGCAGCAGTCAACCTAAAAAACAACAGAAGTAAAGGTTTGGCTTTTTTTTTTAATGGAATTAATAGAGATAAAGGTATACTCCATTTACAGAAGAAATCCAATGAAATTGTCGCCAAACAATACCCCTCTAGTTAGAATCAAATCACAAACCGTACTTTATATGCCTTTATGAATACAAGGCTCTTTATGAATGTTTTTAGAATTGCTTACTGCACAAATCACGGCCCAGTAACTATAAACCTATAAAAAGTGGAAGAAACAAATGGAACCAGCTACCTATAAATGAGGTACCTGCAAAACTTTAACAGATCCACTAGACAGACAACTGGCTTTCGGCTGTTGTTATTTTTTTAAGTAAAAACCTGCAAAGTGAGCAAAAAAGGGTTTCTTGGCAATCTGAGAAATTCTTTCAGGCCTCAGAAACTAGCCCTGTCTTCATGTCCAGGGCTCCAGAATCCAGACTTCACTTCTGCCTTCATACAGGGTCCGTTTCTTTCAGCATTTATGAAACAAGAAAACACAATCCGACTTAGACCGCTGGCCCCTCTCCGGGTACAGCCGCTTCTCGTGGGCAGGCTTCATTCGTCCCTTTCTGTGCTCTGAGGCTCCTTCATACCCCTGCTCACACAGAGCTCTCGTAAAATGCTCCTGCCCCGGCGCCATCACCCTTGGTGTCTTCACCTGTGATGCTCTTCCTAGAATTCTCGTGGCTGGTTTCAGATGTCTGCCTCCTCTCCCGAGAAAGCTTTCCCTCCTAGATCACGTTTTCTGACAAGCTCTGCTCACCACCCAAGCCCTGCTAATAACTCCATCACTTACAACGGGGCTCATTTTATTCAAATTGCTTTCCACCACTGGAAACTACCTGGCGGACTTCTGCACGGTTGTGCTTATGTCCTGACCTTCCCCCACAGTGTAAACACCTTGAAAGAAGGACTTGGTCAGCCTTGGTTCTGCTATGCACATGCCTAGAAATGAGCCTTAAAAATGAGTCTGCCCAAGCTGCAGGAGAGGAAACTGAGGCCGAGAAGTCAGGTGACTCATCCAAAGTGGGAGAGCGAGATAGAGAGTGCTGTGCTGAATTACACCCCGGGCGGTCCTAACCAGCAGGCGGCACTGCCCCTCACTCACACCCAGGTGGGAAGGAGCTCAGAGAGGAGTCAGGCTGCCAGCCTCTCTTGACCAGGGTGGGCTCTTTCTGCTGCCTATGGGAGAGGGGATAGAAATACATCTGCTCTGTTAGCAGCAGGCTCCCAGTAGGCACGCAAGAGGTCAGGAGGTCATGTCAAAGGGTGATCTCCATGACCTCAAATTTCTCCCCCAACCCTAGCCATCCACAACACTTCAGCATTTTGATCAGCTTTTGTGATAGGCAATGTCTCCCAGAGACGCCCATCCCCTACTCCCGGAAAGCGGTGAATACATTACATCGCATGCAAAAAGAGCTTTGCACACGGAATTAAGGTTAGGGACCTTAAGATGGGAGATTATTCTGACTATCCCTGTGGGCCCAATATAATCACATGAGCCCTTAAAAGTGGAAGAGGAAGGCAAAAGAGTCAGACAGAGAGATGCAATGCAGAAGAAGAGGCAGAAGAGACTGGAAGCATGAGAGGGACCCTACCTGCCATTGTAGGCTTTTAAGATGGAGGAAGTGGACGATGAGCCAAGAAGTGAGGGAACTCTCTGGAAGCTGGCAGGACAGCCAGGAAACAGGAACTCAGCCCACACCCACAGGAAACAACCTGAACGAGCAAGGAAACTGTTTCTCCCACAGCGCCTCCAGAAAGGACGCAGCCATCCACACCTGGGTCTCAGTGCGCTGAGGCTTGTCTTGGACTTCTGACCTACAAACTGTGAGGTCATAAATCCCTGCTGTTTTAAGGCACTAAATTTGTGGTCATTTGTTATGGCATGAATAGAAAACCAACGCAGATTTAGAGAGAAAGGAATGTTTTGCCTGGATGACAGGGTTTGTCATCTTCTGGGAGACTCAAAGTCAATCCACGAGCTCAGATTTGTAAAGAGACCAGCAGGGGTCGCAGAGGCTGTCCTCATCAATTAGATGCAACCTGATTGGCAGGCCAGGGACATTAAAAATGGACAGTGCACTGGCTTCAGTCTCATCTGTGTGCACTGCAGCAGATGGCTCTGTCTGCCTCAGAGATGGACCGAGTCACAGGTGTGTGTATGATTAACCATGACATCAAAAGAAACCTCCCCAGCAAAGGGGGCCATTGACTTCTCCTATGAGTCCAGGCGTCATGGCACGCTGTGCCCGCAAACCAGCCAGCCAGGGGCCAAACACGGCAAGCACAGTAGAGCAATGAGTTCCGGTGCAGATGGTGTTTCCATAATAACCGAGGCAAAAGGAAAGGCTGGGTGAACTTCAGGGAATGAGGAAGAGCTTGGAGAAAATTTCAGTAGCATCTCATCACTAACATCTAGTAATAACCCCCACCTGTTCATGGAAAAGCCCCTATTTACTCTCTGAGAAACTGCCCTGACTTGATTCAGTCCACGTGGTTTGACTGAAGCCCAAATGGGTGGACACGTGACCAGGTTTGGCCAATCAGAATATCACATCCTCTGGCTTACAGGAATTGGTTCTGGGACGAGCTTCTGACTCAAATCTGGCCAATGAGTGACAGTCCTGGGATCTCTGCTGCAAGCTCAGTGTTCAGGACAGCAGCTAGCACATCGCGGGTGCCCAATAAATATTTAATAAGTGAAAACTGATGTCTGTTGTTATTTAATTGCAAGCAAATCATACTTTGCAAATATATGTGTGTATTTTGCAATGGTTTAATTAATGTTTGTAATTATTATCTCTATAGTTTTGTTTACTTGTTTTTTGGAGGGAAGGGATGCTTTCCTTGATGAGTGTATGCTTCCACCAGGGCGAGGACCACATTTCTATTGTTTCCCACTGTAGCTTCGGCGCCTTGTAGAAGTCCTAGCACACACTTGGCACTAGGAAATATTTGTTGAATGAATGAAGGAATGACACTCTTTTATTCCCAGCCTCAATATTGTTGTTCTTCTTGGGTTTTATGTCTGGAACTGTGTGGGTATATAGTTTGGATTCTGGTTCTTTTGACTTGAGAATAGTGAACACAGTTATGTACAACATTCTGAGCCTAATTCAATCAGAAACAAATGTCCATAACAGACTCCCTCTACTTTACCTCTAAGAAAGACCTAACCAACTGGTGTGGGCCACTGATGCAGGATTCAGCCCAGGGGACTAACTATTTAATGTGCATTATACGCTAAGCTGAGCCAAAGCACGTGTTAATTCATCTATCTGTCTCCAACCACTTCAAGAAAAGCTTCTTGTCTCATAGTCTACAAAAAATGAACCAGCAGGACCACTGTGTGGCGATCACTTGAAAATTATAATTATCAAATACATCAGGCAGCTAAGCAGTGCAGAAAGTAACTTAACACCCGTTGTTACACCCACCACCCAGCTTAAAAAACACAACACACAGATGTGCTGAAGCTCCCTAGGAACCCCCACCAGGTGGTTCCATGCACCCCTGCCCTCCCCGAGATCACCACTATCCTGACATTTATATGTACGATTGCCAAGGATATTTGCTATTTTATGCTTTCACCACACAAGTGCATATTCATAGAAATGTATGCAATTGCTTTGCATGTTTTAAGCGTATATAATGATATCTTGTTCTAGATATGCTTGGGCAACTTGCTTTTTAATTTTTGTATTCAATCTTGTGTTTTAAAGATTTATCCACGCTGAAACATGCAGCACTAATTAATTTTCATGGTTGATTAGTATTTCCTTGTATGAATATAGGAACGTGTGCGTCTTCCTTCTTCTGCTGGTGGGCGTTTCAGCTTAAATGCCTTGTGTCGCTGCCTTTCTGAGCACAGCAAGGAAGTGAGAAGTCAGGCTGGGATGAAAAGAGCTCGGTTCAAACCCAACTTCCCTGACTTGGTTTCTTTGTGAAAGCCACTTCACATTCCGGAGCCTCAGTTTGCTCATCAAAAAATGGGGACCATGGGGCTGGCCCCGTGGCTGAGTGGTTAAGTCTGTGTGCTCCGCTGCAGGCGGCCCAGTGTTTCGTTGGTTCGAATCCTGGGCACGGACATGGCACTGCTCATCAAACCACGCTGAGGCAGCGTCCCACATGCCACAACTAGAAGGACCCACAACGAAGAATATACAACTATGTACTGGGGGGCTTTGGGGAGAAAAAGGAAAAAAAAATAAAATCTTAAAACAAACAAAAAGAAAAGAAATGGTTCCCGAGCAAAGAAGAAACCCTCCGTACAGCTTGACTCTGAGCCACAGCAGTGTTTCAGGTAGTCTAAAATAAGGAAATGATTTTTAAAAACCAGGGTGTGGGGGAACCCAAAATGGAATATAAATGGTAGTAATGAGACTGACTATATTACAATGAATCACACAGTCACACGATCAGAAATGAGAAAGAAGAGATCTAGGAAGTCACCTTGGAAACGGTATTTTGACTGGATAGATACTAGAAGGCTAATGACAATTAGCAATTGAGAAACAACTTACAGTAGGATTGAGCAAATAAGTAAACATATAAGAGGACGTGAGAGCCAGGCTGCTCGCTGTCAGAAAAAGAAATGAAAAGTAAGGACAAGCGGAAGGTCAGGATGAAGCTTGGTGATTTATTGGAATCAGGGCTATCAACATGAATCCTGTTTTTAATGGATAGATGGATAGACAGACAGACAGGTGTGTGCACGTGGATACAGGGGTGAGTGTGCATACTTACATCTCCTAACTCTCTACCAGGGGGCTTAGGAGCAATGAGACCGTGGCAGACACCCCACACCTTGTGCTGGGACCTGTGAGATGGAGCGCAGTGCTGGGCAGCATTCCGGAGACCCCTGGAGCAGCTTAAGAACATTCTCCACATGACATCAGTGGGCACACAGCCAGCCAGACCTGAGGGTAAAACGTCCAGGTTGGATCTCCTGAGTAAACCTTTAACTTCTCCGGGAGTTTCACATGCAGAAAAGGAAATAAAGGAAGTACTAATCTTAAATAAGTTTTCTTTAATTATAGATAGGTTTATTACACCTCCTATAGATTGATTTACAGGAACATTAAGGCCTTGTCCTCTCTCGATGATTGTGGCAAACTCCCCTGGGAATTCCAGGCTTCTACTTCTGTCCCGCCATACCTCAAGCAAAATGTGAGACAAATTTTGTCTGAAAGCTCATATGCAAAGTCGTACACATCAGTGGTAGGTCCTCTTTTTGTCCTAGAACCAGCTGACCACAAAATGTGATTTCAGAATTTAGGAACATGTCATGAAGCCACAGCGACGTGTTTTGATAAACACCTCATGCCCCGACAAGCCGTCGTCCCTCCGTTTAATCTCAAAATTCAGTAGAGTAGCATCATCTTTGTCCCACCAGTAGGTGGTATAACTGTTGTCCAGGTACTGAATGAGAAATGAAGCTGAATGGGGTCCAATATTCTGAGATTGCCTTCACCACCCCACGCATGAGGGGTGTCCTTAGAGAACCTCCATGAGCCCCGCTAAAATGGGGTTCCCGTCGCTACCCTTGTTCTGAGCCGTGCAGAGAACTCAGTTCAGAGTTTCCAAAAGAGAGCAGGAGCCCACGATGTGCATCAGAGAGCGGAGCATGCGGGTAAAGATCTCCCGGCCTCCCGGTGCCAAGAGATGCTGGCTCTGGAGAGGCCACTGACAGAGCTTCAAGGGAAACCCCATGGCCTTCTGGAATCCAGCAATTCCCCACCAGCCCTAATTCCTGGTGATCAATAATCTCTTCAGCTCTATACATTTACCGGTTCATGAAATGTGACATACACGGAAGCATGTATGTGTGACGTTTTGGGGTTGGCTTTTTTCCCTCAGCACGATGCCCTTGAGACCTATGTAAGTTGCTGTATCAATAGTCCTTTTACGGCTGAGTAGTGACCCATGGCATGGATGTCATACACATCAACCATTCACCACTTAAAGGACACGTGAGTTGTTTTCAGTTTTTGGTTGTTACAAATAAAGCTGCTATGAATATTCATGTATAGGTTTTAGTGTGGATGTAAGTTTTCATCTATCTCTGAAAAACGCCCAGGAGTGCAATTGCTGGCTTGCGTGGTAAATGTGTTTTTAAACAATATAAATGTAAATTATAATAAAATAGTCAAACTATTTTCCAGATTAGGAATTTTACATTCCCACCAACTATGTATGAGAGATCCAGTTTCCCCACATCCTCACCGATGTTTGGCAGTGTGTGTGTGTGTGTATATAAATTTTATCTATTCTAATAGGTGTGTAGTTATTTCTCATCTCATCTCGGTCTTAGTTTGCATTTCCCTAATGGCTAGTGACGTTAAACGTCATTTTCATCTCCTTACTTGCCATCCATATTTGTCATCAGTGCAATTTCTTGTCTTTGGTCCAAGTTTTTACTGTTGTTGAACTTTGCTTTTTTTTCTTTCAGATATGGTTTTTGGCAAATATTTTCTTTCAGTCTATAACTTATCTTTTCATCTTTAACAGGGTCTTTTGCAGATCAAACATTTTTAATCTTGATGAAGTCCAATGTATCTTATTTTTTCTTTGACGCACTGTGTTCTCAGCATCAGGTTTAAGAACTGCTCACTGAGTCCTAGGCCCCAAGATGTTCCGTTTCCTGCTAGAAGTTGCATTATTTTACATTTTACATCTCCACCTTTGATCCACACGGAGTTCATTTTTGTATGAGGTGTGAAGTTTAGGACAAAGTTCATTTATTTCGCCTTTGATGTCCAATGGCCCCAGCACGATATGTTGAAAAATATTGCTTGTTTTTTAATTAAGACATGATACCCCTCTGCTGAATAATTTTCTTGCAGTCAGTTTTCTATCCGTATGCCACTTCTGTGCCACCCTATTAACGGAGACTTTCTCTGGTCTTAACAAGCTAACAGTCTATCTCATCAAAGAAAAATAATGGGTGTTATTCTCAGCTTTTCTTTCTTTTAACCCAAAATGCCCCTTTTTAACTCTCACGCCGCTCCCCCCATCCTTAGGGAATCTGACCCGAGTCCAAGTCTCTGCTCACTTAGACCTCTCAGCCCTGGGGGCTCAGGGCTGGCATCTGCTAAAGTCCCAGGAGCAGGAGGTTTGGGCAAAGTCAGCCTGACTTGGTCACAAATTAATTCCGGGATCCCCATGGGGCCCACAGGGGATGGAAACTTGCTCTTTACGTTAATGCAAGAAGGAGGAAACTTTATGCTAATGCAAGAAGCTGAGAGACCGAGAACCCAGGAGTCTCCTGAGCTGTCCACACAGGTCTGCTCCAGAAGGGAGAGAAACCCACCTGGAAGATGCGGCTGCTCACAAGCTGCGCAGAGGCCTCTTCCGGGCGGGCCTTTCTTCTGTACCTGCGGAGCTGAGGCCCGGCTCCTCGCCTGCCCTGGGCCATCCGCGCCTGTGTGGATGAGAAAGGCGCCAGATGCCAGCGGCTCCTGGGGCTCCGAGGCCATCTCTCCCGCCCCTCCCGCGGAGTCCGCGCGGCGACCCCAGTCCCACGTGCGCAGAATAAGACAGCAATGGTCCTCACTCCAGCTGGCCTCCTCTGGAACGCTCCGGGCACTGCTATGTGCCCAATGTGCCCATTAAATCTCGCCCCTCCCCGAGGCCGTGCATCCCGGTCGTGGAGAGGGGCCTGAGGTGAGAAGCCTCAGATACCCGACTCCTGGGAAGCCCAGTTCCGTTAGAGACTCGCACCCACTCGCCCCAGACACCAGCGTCTCTGAGCCCCACAACCTCTACGTAGCTGCAATCCCAAATCCCATCGCACTGAATCTGGGGAGTCCGGGTGGAGAGCCCCAGGTTTCTGCCAGGCTGGAGTTCGCTGTTAGCTGCTGTGAATGCGCCTCCCTCGACGACCCCAGATCAGCTCCAGGCCCTGGGGCTGGGGGAAGGGTGCGAAACGCCGGGCTCTCCGCCTGGCTCCCCAGTGCCAGTTTGACAGGCTGAGGGTCTGGATTCGGGGCCAGGACGTGATTCTATGCTTTGCGGAAAGGGGTTCACATAACCGGCCCCCACTTTCTGGATCCTAAGTGCCACGTGTTCAGTGGGGGTGGGGGTGGATCCCACGGAAACCGGGAGTCGGGGACAGTAAAGGCTTTCCCTCAACCACGCCCCCTCCTCACTTCTGGGAGCAGAACGTGGTGTGATTCCGGTTGCTTCAGATGGCTTCAGGTAGGGGTTCTGAAGATCCTGGAACGGGCAAATTTGCCCCAGTCCCACACATGGCTGCTCCAGGGTCTGCCCATCCAGGGAAGGGCCGCTCTGCGCCCCCCAGGAGCGCTGCTGGTGGCCTCAGCGCCCTCCCCAGGTTTCCCCAAGAAACCCCAAGTTCGAGCTACCCCCGTCCGACGGCCAGTGCGACAGATGCCGGCTCCCGCCTTACCTAAACCAGGCAGGGCGCCCCGCCCCGCCCCGCCCCGGGGCTGCGTATTTGGAGCGCACCCTGAGTCACGCCGCCAGCCCGCGGCCCCCGCCGGCTGCTCCACGCTCCGGGGCGACCCTGCGCAGTCCAGTCGGGCGGTCCAGCTGCGTCTCCGAAGGTCGCGCCCTTCCCTGCAGAGCGGTCCTCATCCGGCGGCTCCGGCTCAGGCGGTTGCTGGCGCTCAGATCCCGGCAACTTTCCTTCAGCAGCCGCGGCCGTCGCCGACCCCCGGCCCAGCTTGTCTGTGCTCGGCCCCCGGCCCCGCCCAGGTCCCAGCCCCGCTCACCCAATCTGTGCTCCACCCCTAACCCCGCCCAGGTCTCAGCCCCGCCCGCCTTACTTGTGCTCCGCCCGCGGCCCTACCCAGGGTCTCAGTCCCCGCCCAGCTCACCTACGCCGCGATCCTGCTCAGGTCCCAGGCCCTGCCCAGCCCACCTGTCCTCCACCACCGGCCCCTCCAAGGACCCAGCCCCGCCCAGCCCACCTGTGCTCCGCCCTTGACCTCGTGCAAGGGAGAATCCCTCTAGGCTGGAAGAAGATGCGTAAGAAAAAGAGTGAAAAAGAGCGGAAGAGCGCCTGCAGCTCCCTCAGGAATTCGCTCCTCTGCCCCAAAACTCTATATCCGCCTTAGCTCTCTGCAGGCTAGCCCTGGAAAGTTCTGATCTGGTTCACCGCGTCACTGCGGGGGAGGGGGAGGTCTCTGAGATCTTGGGATGCCTGGAATTAGAACAAGGTAAAAAACTCTGTGTGTGTGTGGGTGTGTGTGCGTGTGAGTATGTGCGCGCGCGTGTAAAAGCATACGGCAATTCTGTGAGGCCACACCAGCACTTGGAAATTGTGGTTTCCTCAGCAAGGGGTCTGGACAGTTGAGATGGGAGAAAAAGTAATTCTACTTGACAGCCTGGAGTAGAATGCAGCTGAGAAAACTCTTCCAACCAAAAAAGGTTAACTGTTAAATATTACATCCTACAGTTCTAGTGAATTATGGGAAGAGGTTAATTATGCTAATTCCCCAGTTCTCCACTTCGTGTGGCTTCTGTAGACCAGACCAAGGGGAGAGGTCTTAGCGTGGACTGGGTCGCCTGTGGCGTCTTACAGTGGCGATTATTTTTTGCAGCCCAAAGGACTAGAGAATGTTTTTAATCATATTAAATATTTTAGCCTCTCCAGATCAGTAGGAAATGGTTCCTGGCTGAGGGACTCAGGCCTGCTTGACCCTCCCTCCTCCTGTCAGAAAATACAATTTTTAAAAAGCCGGAAAATGTGTGCACTTCACTCCCACCCCCGATCTACATTCTTTTTGCAGTTTTGTGAATTGCAGCCCCCACACTTGTCATTTCTGTCCCTTCTACACTGAGTATCACCTTCCCAGCTGGAAAGCCAAATGCAGATCCCGAATCAAAATACAATGAGGAAATAATCAGGGAGCTCTCAGTCTGGCCAATGTCACATAGTGGAAGTGGCTGGGAGATGCACCATCTGCTTCCTCTCTCCCCATCGCTACCCGGCTCCCTCCTGTGTGGCTGAAGACCGCTTTATCCCCCCAGTCTGTCCATCCTTCTCATGACCTAGTTTTACATCTATTAATCCGTTTAACCCTCACGACAACCCCCACAGGCTGCTATTTTCATTATTCCTTTTTAAAGTGAGGGAATTTAGACACAGAGAACGTAACCACTATTTACCGGCATTTGTTGAATGGGAAATTCACTGTCTATTATCATGTTTATGTATTTAGTTATTTGCTTATAGTCTGTCTTCGACTCCTCTGTCTGCCTCCTCCTCCCATCTAAAATGTAAGCTCAGTGTGGGTGGCATCCTAGTTGCTGTCCCCTGAATTCTCAACGTCAACAGTGTGTACACTCAAGTAAACAGTTGTCAAATGAATGAATCTTGTGCGTTTGCGTAGTGTCATGACCCGTTTTAGCAATGAAGGTATGAAAGATGACATGAGTGGAGACACATTAAAATAGAACCAGAACAGCTATTTCAGACAAATTGCCTTGCACTTCTTGTTTTCTTTATCTTCCAAGCTGGACCAGACTGCCAACGTTCCAAGAATCAGTAAGGACATGAATATCCTGTCTGTGAGGGCAGGACTGGACTTCACTGATGAAACAATGAAGTACAAGTCTAGCCTTTTCCTGATGACTCTCAAGCCAATCTATCAAGCGCAGACCGAGCCTCACCTCATCAAGCGCCGATGAACTCCTCCTTGACACAACTCGCCTCATCGTCCTTGCTTTTTCCCGTGAAACTCTGAGCCCCTCTCTTGTAATCAAAGCACATTTGAGTTTCTACTCAAATCTGTATTTCCCAAATTGCAATTCTTGAGACCCCAAATAAACTTTTTGCTTCTCTTGCAGTTTGTGCCTCATTAGTTGACAAGGGAATCTAGATTGAGAAATGCCGAGCATAAACCACGTAGCGGTAATAATAATAGTGACAATATTTACTGAGCACTTGCATCAAGTAGGACACTGTTCTAAATGTAAGGTTTGGGTTAAGTCAGGTGGTCCTCATACACACTTCTGTGCGTGTGCTCCTAGTACCCCCATTTTACAGGCAAGGAACCCAGATTTAAGGAGGTTCATTAAGCTGCCCAGGGTGACACTGGGAGTGCCTGGTGGGGCTGGGATTTGGATAGAGGTGGTCTGTCCTCAGAGCCCACATCTGTAATCCCTGCACCAGGATCATTTGTGTGAAGAACTACCTGGAAATCATTCCTGTCACTTGTACAGGGTATCTTGATGACCTGTGCTGACTCTCCCTTCCTATGTCACCCCTCTGTGTCACCTCTCGCCAACTAGATTTTTCTGCCTTGAACAAAGGAGAAACAGTGATTTATCACTTCTACTGAAAAGTGCAGGAAAGCACCCAGAGTGGTTTGCTCTCAGCCTCTGTGGACATCACTGTCCCCAGAGGGGTCACTGTAGCCCTGCTTCCTTTGATAAGATGCAGGTTACTTTTATCTGTGCAATCAACTTTTAGGACGGACGCCCAAGTGCCCACTCTTGTTCCTTAGCCTGTTCCCTCTTGGTCACTGCTTGAGGAACAAGTCTTGGCAGACCGTCAGCAGCCTGGATTGTCCCCTCACCACCTTCCAGTCTGGGTTCAAGATCAGAAAACCATGCCTTTAGTGTCAAATTCACATAATAGAGCTCAGATTTTGTTACAAATTAAGTTAATGCATAAGGGAAGAAAGACGTTGCCTTTCTTCAATTTGCACACATTACACTGAGTTAACACACAGATGCCCCTTCTTAAGAGCTGGTTTTACAAGTATTAATCCACTGAATCTTCTAGACAACCCTGTCAGCTTACCATCTTCCCTAATCCTTTTTGAAGGTGGAGAAATGTAGACACAGAAGAGTTTAGTTTATAAAAACCAGTAATTAGAAGACATGGAATTCTAACTTGGGCATTTTGGCTGTAGAGGCCACATTTCAAACCATGTCACCAGTCTGCCTCCATACATACTTCCTCAAAGATACAGCATTGGAGTTGGGAAAAACTTTCTTCTGTGTTTTTCTTTACCCTCACACTCACTCCTTTGTCCAACAAACCTGTGATTGTTTTTCCCACCAAGAGATTGTCTAATTCTCTGTGGACACCAAGGGGGTGTCCTACAATTCCACTCGGTTCTGACACTATCCACCTGGAGTTAGCATCAGATCCCACAGATGAAGGGCTCAGTCTCACAAGATCGCCCCCACTTCAACACATCAATCACATGTTCAGCTTATCACCTGTGCTTCTGGCCAACCGGCTATAAATTGGAGGTTCTCACAACCCCTCCATGGAATTTCCTTTAATGACTCACAGAACTCAGGAAAACAGTTTACTTACTAGATTATCAGTATGTTATAACAGGATATAACTCACCACAGCCAGATGGAAGGGATGCGTAGGGCAAGCTGTGTGGGGAGGGGTGAGGAGCTTCCACACCCTCCCCCGGTGCACCACCCTCCCAGCACCGCCATGTGTTCACCAACCTGGAGGCTCTCTGAACCTCGTATTTTAGAGATTTTTATAGAGGCTTCATCATGTACACATGATAGGTTATCAAGTCAATTTCCAACCCCTCTCCCTTCTCTGAGGCTGAAAGTTCAAAGCTGCTAATCACGGCTTGGTCTTTCTGGTGACCAGCCACCATCCAGGAGCTCACCAGGAGTCTCCTCATGAGAACAGAAGATGCTCCTTTCACCCAGGAAGTTCCAAGAGATTTAGGAGCTCTGTATCAGGAACTGGGGACAAAGACCAAAATATATATTTCTTATCATATCACATTATCACAGTATCCAATCCTAATTTATACAAAACACCACTTCTTGTAAATTCACTCTTTCCTCTCACACAGCTGCATTTGATGTGCCTCCTCATTCCAGCACAATCATAGTGCTTTATCGCAACTGGCTTATTTATCTTTCAATCAATTGATTATATTTATTTAGTATATGTCATACACAGAACCCAAAATTTGGGGTGGCAAACAAAAAGGAGATCCTACCAAGAAGAAACTAGTTAACCCCAAGTGCAGCAGGCAGAACAAAGCTCCCCCTCCCCCAAGACACGCACATGCTAATCCCTGCAACCAGAGAATAGGGTGCCTCTCATGGCAAAGGGAACTCTGCACGGGGAATTAGGATTTGTGACCTTAAAGTAGGGAGATTATCCTGGGCTGTCCAGGCGAGTCCAAAGTAATCATGTGAGCCCTTATAAAAGGGAGAGGAAGGCAGAGAGTGAGCGAGAGTGATGCCAGGACAGAAGAAGAGGTGGGAAGGATTCTAGGTGTGAAGACTTGACCCACAGTTGCTGGCTCTGAAGATGGAGGAAGGGGACCACAAGCCAAGGAATGCAGAAGCCTCTGGGAGCTTCAACAGGAAAGTGGAGACCTCAGTCCTAAAACCACGGGGAACTGAATGTTTCCCACAATCTGAATGAGCAAGGAAATGCATTCTTCCCCAGAGGCTCCAGAAAGGAACACAGTCCTGCCGACATCTTGATTTCACCTGTAAATGAACATAAATGAGGCCATCTTGTCACACTAAATGACCCTTTCCTAGTTAAAAGCCTTCCAGCATGTAATCCTTATAAATCACTACATGCTTTCATGATTTTCTGGCCCTGATCCTGTGCACATACCCCTGCTGAGGTGCTCTGAGAGCTTTGTTCTTAACAATACTAACAAGTTTTCCCAAGGAATAAGAAGACCTCTAGGAAGAAGGAACACCTATGGGATATTCATCATCACCGACGGAAGAAAAGAA